ATAAAGCTGACTTATAAGATGTGAATAATAATATTACAGTATCAGAGTTCATTAATTAATCATACTAAGCTTGTTAACTTAGCTTCTCAGATCTATTTAAATAATTAACTCTCTGAGAAAAAGATTAATAAGATCTCTTCTAAGTAATTAATAATAAGATCTAAACAGCACTGTGACAGCTTCAGTGTGAAGAAAGTAAAGAAGAATTTTAAATATTCTAATTCTTCACTCACTGTGAAGAAATATTAAAAAAGATTTGATAAAGATCTCTATTTTAACTGTAAAGCTGATAATCACTATACTAGTGACTATAAGAAGCTGAAGAAGAGAAGAAACTGAGAAGATATCTTCTCAAAGTTAACTTCTCTTCTGATAAATATATTTATGAAACATAAAGAAGAGAAAGAAATAAAGAATTGATAATTCTTATATCTCTGAGTTTATATTACAATCACAATGAATACTCTGAATGAGAAGATATTAGTGAGATGTCTACTCAACTTCAGAGTGAATATCAACTTCATATTCTATTTCTTTTTCTTAATAAAGAGTTGAAAGAAGATAGATCTGTCAGATTATATGAAATTTACTGATAAGATGAAATATCACTATTTTAACATAATTTAAGTGAAGTGTGTGAGTACAGACTCAGAAGAAATCTTCAAGAAAAGCAGTCTGCTTCTTCATATAGTTAATATTATAGATGAGAACATTATTCTAGATCTTCTATAATTGAGAGAAAACAATTCTCTCATTAACTGAGTCACTCAGATATGATGATACTGTCTCACTGATAAAGAGACAGTAATAGAGAAATCTGAAGAGTTTTATTAAAAGAATCTTGAGAAAAAGATAGAGTTAATATACTGTATAGCAGATGACTGAGACTTAAGAATAGATGAAAAAGTCATCACTCTTACTGCAAGATTAGTAGTAGTATCTGTTATTAAAGACAGATGTATATAATATCTCTTTACAGATTATAAGAATGTCTTTTTAGAAAGAGAAGCAGTGAAGTTTTCTGATATTAACATATGATATAAGATTTATCTTAAAGATAGTATAACAGTACTATACAGGTCTCTTTACAACTTGTCTGTAAAGAAATTGAATATTCTGTGTAAATATCTTGAGAAAGTGTAATTGAAGAACTGAATACACTTATTAAAGAGTTCAGCAGAGATATCTATACTCTTTATACTTAAGAAGAACAGTAGACTATATCTATACATAGACTACAGAGATCTTAATAAGATTACAGTTAAGAATCACTATTCATTACTATTAATTAATAAGATAATCAATTAATCATCTGAAGTAAAGATGTTCTCAAAGATTAATATACAGAATATCTATCATAGAATCAGAGTTAATGAAGATGATATTTGAAAAATAGCTTTTTGTATCCAGTATAGTAATTTTGAATATCTTGTTGTATCTTTTAATCTTTGTAACACTTCAGTTATCTTGCAGATCTATATAAATAAGACACTGTGAGGCCTTGTTAACATCTTCTGTATAGTATACTCAAATGACATTTTAATCTTCTCAAAAATGAAGAATGAATATAATACTCATGTTTAAGAAGTGTTCAGTGACTTGAGACAGTATTAACTCTATACAAACACTGAAAAATGCTTGTTCTATATACAGAAGATTGATTTCTTAGATTATATTGTTGAGATGAATGACATTTCAATGAACAGAAGTCAGATCTTCATTATTGAGAACTGATCAGTACTGTAGATGTATTATAAGATGTAGATATTTCTAGAATTTACAAACTTCTATAGATGATTTATCTATACATATTCACAGATTACTATTCTTCTTACAGATCTGTTAAAGAGAAGTGTGAAAGACAGAAAAACAGAACTATTTACTCTCACTTAAGACACTGTGCAGCTATTTGCAGAATTGAAATAAGCTTTTACAGATATCATAATACTGAATCACTTTAACTCTGACTTAGTCAGTATGAGACTGATACATCTGAGAATGAGATCTATGAAATCTTTTCACAGTTAACACTGAAGATCTTTCAATATTAAAAGAATCAGAGAATAATAATCTCTGAGAATATAGATAATGAAATGTCTGTGAGAGAAGACTTTTTCACAGAGTCTATAAAATACTATAAATAAAGATCAGTGATCTTCTTCTTCAAGAAGTTATCACTTACATAGATAAGATATGATATTCATGATCAAGAAATATTAGTAATTATCAAATTGTTTAAGATTTGACAATATTATCTTCAGAATAGTAAGTACTCAGTGTAAGTTCTCACTGATTATATAAATCTGCATTACTTCTTAACAACAAAGAGCTTGACAGAATGTTAAGCCAGATGAGCAGAGCTGCTTTCAGAGTATAATTTCTATATCTGATATTATTCAGATCAGCTTAACTCTGTTAATACACTGTCTAGATAACCTGATTATAATATTATTGATACAGAGAAGAATTCTATAAAAGAACCTCTGTCATCACTGCAGAAGAAGCTGACTGCAGAGAGTTGAGATTCTCTGAAGCTTAAAAACAGCACTGGTAAGACAGCTGCATGACTCAGTATAAAAGATGAAAGAAAATCCAGGTCTCTGCAGAGAACTGATACTGAAGATTATAAGCTTCTTATATTAAATCTTACTATTATTGAATTAGTAAAGAATAAAACAGTCTACAATCTTTCAATCTGACTACTTTTGAAATTCATTGATAAATTATAGAAGAGAGATGCCTTTACTGCAGCTTAAATTCAGAAGTTAAAGAAGAAAGAATTCAGTTTAAACTTGAAAGAGACAGACTCTGAGTGAGACAGTGCTGTTAAGAAATCAAGTCACTGATAACTAAAAGAATATAAACTTCTACTGCTGAATAATTCAGTCTTCATCTCTTGTAACAGAGCAGTGTATCAGAAGTTATTAAGAAATCATTATAATAATTCTTATACAGAGTACTTCAGGTTAGAGAAGACTGAGAAGCTTCTAAAATGTAGATATATTTAAGACAAGCTCTGAACAGATTTTAAAGAGTATATTAAGACTTATAATATCTGTTAAAGAATAAAGATTCTGCAGTATAAGTAATACAGTGAGTTAATATCACTATCTATCTCAAAGAGCTTATGACAGAATCTATCAATAAATTTCATAGTTGATCTGCTGAAGTCAACAAGAGTCAAAGAATATGACTGAATTTTAGTCATTATTAACTGTTTCATAAAGATGATAAAATATATTTCTACTTATACAAAGATTAAAGCCTCTGAATTGACTGATCTGTTTTTAGATAGCATTATTTATGATCACAGTGCTCTAAAATCATTGATAACAGATTAAGAATCTCTCTTCATCAGTAAATACTGATCAGCTTTTTACTATCATTTTATAATAAGATATCTTCTCAGTATCACATTTCATCTACAGATACATAATTAGACTGAATATCAGAATCAGACATTAGAACAGTATCTTTGAGTATTCTATTCATATTATCAGAATGATTGACTTAAACACCTATTAATCACTGAATTCATATATAACAATGTAAAGAATATAATCTTAAAAGTATCTTCTTTCTATACTTATTATAAATATAATTCTTTATTACTCAGTGACATTATAGACAATATTTCAAAGAGAAGAATAAACAGTCAGAATGTTGAATAGATACAGAGAATAGAGTATTTCTCAGAATCAGAAGTAAAAGTGAGATTGAAACTTTTGAATAAAATCTATGAGAAGATAGTGAAAAGCATCTACTGTGTTCAGAAGTAGTAGACAGAATACTATAATTGAAAACATCTTTCAATGAAGTTCTTGATAGAGAATTAAGTGCTACTTTCAGCAAAGAATATCAAGATAATAAGACTGTGTAAGAAGCTCAGTAAGTGATGACTAGAACCTTTCTCAGGAATAAGAGTAATGAATAAGTAGATATATGAGTTGAAATTACTCTCAGAATTGAAATCAATTCATTCTATTTTTCACATTTTTTATTTAAAGCTCTATAAGTAATGTCTTAGACCAGAGCTATCTCAGCTGAATAATATTAAGATTGAGAGTGATACTGAATATCTTATGAAGAAAATATTGAATAAGTAAACATATTACAGTAAGCTTCAATATCTTATTAAATGAGAAGATTATTCATTATCAGAGAATTCATGAGAACTACTTAAATATTTGAAAAATGCTGAGAAAGAGATTGCAAGCTATGAGACAGTTAGTAGAGACTGCTCTGTTACACATCAGAGATATTGAGTAATAAATGTTATATAAGACTTCTTATTCTTCTCAAAGAGTTTTTTAGAGATAATCTTACAGTGATAAGCTGATGTCTTATGAACTCTGTAGCACTCTTCTTCTATTTTCTCTCAAAGGATTTTTTAGAAGTTTAATAAGACTACACAAGTGTAAAATTCCTGAAGTGATTAATAAGAAAAGAAACAAATATTTGAAATTAACAAAGATTGATATTATCAATTCACAGGCTGCTGCTATTCTAATGAGACTGCAGCTTACTGAAAAAGTAAAAAGAGAGATCAGACTCTACTCACTAATAATTATATTCTCATTAAACTCATTCTTCACTGTTGAAGTCTTCAGTATCAGTATCTTTGCCTGCTGAGAAGTTAGTACTGCAGTGTCACAGAAGAGTATAAGAAATGCATGAAATATTAACTTATTAACTTATAAAGCATCTCAGTCATCTGCTTCAATTGAAGTGAGATTCTCTTCAATCAGTGATTGATCTCTGTGATGCTTTTAACAGCAGTATCAGTTAACTTCTTCTTCTTGAGACTGATCATTCTGAGGTGTTTTTTCATCTTAAAGACTCACACTTGCACCTTCTTTTATAGATAAGTAAGAAGAATCTTCTCAGCCTTGATAAAATTCATCAACACTTGAAGCTCTGAGATTCTCACTCTGTACTGCTTGAGCATCTGAGTTTCTTATCAGAGCGGATACAATGTCTTTCTGTGAGATAATACTTACAGAGAGATAGAAGTCATTGTTACAAGTATAACAGAAATAACAGAAGTGAGAGAAGAAGTGAGTATATAAAATCCCCTCTTTCTTCAGCTGCTTAGTGCAGTGCAGATATGTGATGATACTGATCAGAGACTGCACTGAAGTCTTCTCACAGAGAGAAGACAAAGAAACTGCAGAACTCTGCAGACTCAACTCAGCAGTATTCTCAGCAGGGCGCAAATATGCCACAGAAGAGAAACTACAGATTGAGCTTCTCAGAGTTACTATTTCTGAAATCAAGCTCTTTCTGAGATTCTCTTCAAATGATCACACAGGGTCATACATCACTGTGTTGACTGAGAGAGAGAACAGCATTGCAACAGCAGTGAGAGAGGCTAGACTGGCCGCTGAAATCATGAATTTCACATTTGATCTCATTTGGTCTGGTTTTATACATTTCTTGGCGTGAATCCCGCTGGGACTAGTCATTAAAAAAACATGCAAAGTGACTATATATGAGATCTTAAAATGAAATCATGACTTGAAAAAAATGAGAAAGTGATTTCATTTGATTTCATTTAGTCTCATTCTTGATATAAAGTTACTATTTTTAGACATTTTAAGGTTTTTTTTTGGACTATTTTTAAATTTTTAAAAAGTAACACTTTTTGGTAACACTCAAATGAGATTTAAAGTCATTTAAAGCAATAAAAATAATTTAAATTGAGAAGTGGAAATCATGATCTCATTTGAAAAATATGACAAGAGTAGACAGTAAGTCTCACTGAGACAGTATGAGACTACTATCTAATGTTAAAACTGTGTAATGGAATCAGTCGAATTGGTAATGAGACTATCAAAAAATCTGGTCCTGGTCTCAGACACGGTCACACAGTCAGTCTAAGAGAGGCAGAAGAAGAACTGAACATAGCTAAACTGACCAGCAGAAGGAATGACACCTCACTGCAAGACACAGCTGCTACTACCATGGTCACAAGAGCTGCAGAAGGAGGAAAAGATGTGACAATGAGAGCAGTGCTACTGCGGCTCATTGACACTGCTGTCTCTGCCTTCAACCTGGCTTTCTTAACAGTCACAGAGACTGCAGCCACATCATGAAGAAATTTAATCACTAGAAAATGTCAGAATACACCTCTTATTATCTTACAAGAACAATGCTCTCATACACTCACTATTGAAGATGAAAAAGAGGGAAAAAATTGTGTCATAAGAGAGAGAGAATCTTTTCAAAAAATTCTGTCACTACTGTTAGCTTTGTCTCTAAAAACACATCACTTTTACAGAGAATTTCATACACAGAACAGAATATGATGAGTGATCTGTAAGTCACTTATTAACTACATTTTTCATATTTCAAATCAATATGTAAGAAACTCACTTATCACACATTTGATTTGAATGAAGATGAGAAAAGAAGACTTATATAGTCAGTAGAAAAACTCGTCTATTTCTTTGTATCATGCACAGTACATAGACTGGCCGCCGGGACCATGAATTTCACGTTTGATCCCATTTGGTCTGGTCCCATACATTTCTTGGCGTGAATCCCGCTGGGACTGGCTATCAAAAAAACATGTAAAGTGACTATATATCAGATCTTAAAATGAAACCATGACTTGAAAAAAATGAGAAAGTGGTCCCATTTGGTCCCATTTAGTCCCATTCTTGGCATAAAGTTACTATTTTTAGACATTTTAAGGTTTTTTTTAGACTATTTTTAATTTTTTAAAAAGTAACACTTTTTGGTAACGCTCAAATGAGATTTAAAGTCATTTAAAGCAATAAAAATAATTTAAATTGAGAAGTGGAAATCATGATCTCATTTGGAAAATGTGACAAGAGTAGACAGTAAGTCCCACTGGGACAGTATGAAACTACTATCTAATGTTAAAACCGTGTAATGGGATCAGTCGAATTGATAATGAGACTATCAAAAAATCTGGTCCTGGTCCCAGACACGGTCACACGGTCAGTCTAACAGTACATGCACTATCAAATCAGTTGATAACTATTACTATAGAACAAAGATAACTTCTAATTCAGTAATCTTGAGAGCATCAGAACTATACTCTTAAAGAGAAGAGTATTATCACACTCTCAGCTGTATCAAGACTCTGTTATGATTTCACACAGCTCATCACTTTCATGTGAATAATTTTATTCTGTCTGAATCAGTTTTCAATCACTCTATAATATTATTCAGATATATTATAGAAAGATCTGATTAATAAATATAAGAATCTCACTTCTATACAAGATCAGCAGATTACTCTTTCTTAATAGTGAGATGTCACTGAGGTATCACTTCAGCTATTCTTACTCATGAAATGAAAGAAGAGTATTCACTCATTACTTATATAGAATAGCTAGATTATAAAAGAAGTCAGTAATTCATTGTTCTTCTACTGAAATATATACAAGAGTTACTGTGTTTCTCATACAATTTTCTTAGTATACTAAGTATTATATCTGTGATATTCTTGCAATAACTCTGTAGCCTACAAGCTCACTATTCAAGTAAGATAGTCAAGCTCACTTATACAGCTTCTCAACAACTATCTCTACATGACACCGCTGACTAGTCACCGCTTCGGTTCCGTCATGTTACAATAATTCTTGTCTTATATATTCACTTTCTCAAAGTGGTATAAGATTCATTTGAAAAACTCATTTCATATTTATAAAAATGAATATTACTTCAGATCTGTGAGATTTATCTTTTCACTAATTATTTATAATGACTTCACTTTTCTATGTAGAAATGCAGCAGATCTTAAGACTTGTTAAAATTCTGTTAACTGTCTGTCTGTGGGTTCATATTCAATCTGATAATATAATTATATCTGACTTAGCTAGCTGATTGCAGCATTATTTTTTTCAGTTACTATTGAAGCTTGATAATGTCAGCAGATCTTCTGACTTGATATATCTCATGCTTGAGTTCTTATTCTATGCAGTGATCTCAGATAATGTATACACTTCTGAGAAGATTATGAACAATTGTGATGAGATCTTCAGATTCAGCACAGTCATCTGACTGTATAAGTATTCAATCTTCTGCTGCAGATCTATAATCTGATTTTCCCTATTCTTATTAATAGTAGTGATTGCATTGATAAAGCTCTTTATAGTAAATGCTTGATTCACAGTGAATATCAATTATTAATTAACTTTTATCTCAGCCGGTTACTATGTATGCAAGACCTTAATCTCATTTAGTATTCTTATATGTGTATAAAGCTTTAATTCTGATTCAGCAGTCTCAGCTGCTTTTCTTACTGCTTTGAGTAAATTCTCTGAAAGATTCTGCATATCTTTCAGTTGAGATAGCAGAGAAGAATGTTGTTCATATTGATTAGAGAAGATGTTTATTTCAGTGATTTCTTATTAATTGTATGTATGATGTCTATTGTTATATTGTTATATAATTTCTGTTATCATTATATGATTCTGATAATGCTCACTTCTCTTTTATTCTTCTGAGTAGAGAGTGAACATCTTTGAATCTGGTTTACTGCTCTTATTCTCTTTCTTACATCTCATTCATTCACATACATAATATTTGCCTGAATATGAAGTTTTCTCTCAACAAGCAGAGCAGTATCATTTAGATACTCTTTCACTCATCACTCTTTATATGCTATCTTTTGAGATGTTTTAGAATCACTCTGACATGATAACTATGAATCACTTTGTAGATGAAATTATCACACTCTGAAGAAGTTTGCACTTCTCATTAGTTTTTAGACATGCTATCAGATCTGATTCAAAGATCGCTTGAGTCAGTGTATGATTACAAATGTACGCCGGCTTCTTATATATGTTATATTAGTGGCCGCTATGACTTCTTTACATTTGTAAGCGTGTTCAGAAGCAGCCGCGTTATTATCCGGTGATTGTACGTTCTTTCAAATCATAATATGATAATAGTTCAGTGTATAAGATGAGTGTGTGATCTGTATGTTTTTAAGATTCAATTATACCAGCTCTTCTATCTTATATTGTTCAGTGACATCTTAGTGAATATTGATTTAATTCTCTTAATTTTGTTTAGCAATTGTCATGAAGGCTTCTGCTCAGTTATAAGTATCTCAGAGCTTTATAACTATATTATCAGTGATCTGAATTGAACTTTGAGTGTCTGATGTAAACTATGTAATCTCTAGAAGGTTCAACATCTTTACGTAATAACTATATATAAGAAAGAATAAGCTTATATCTGTTGAGACAGTATCTCACTCATTAATAATAGCTTCAGCATGTAGAAGAAGATTGTGTCAGTTATCTTATAAATAGTTACAGAACTTATAAAGATAATTATTCACAGTCTGAATTATTCATTCTGATATATTATCAGTCAAAGAGTCATAAGCAGTTAATAAGTAATATATAATCTTAAGAACTTGGCAGATTCTTGTTCCGAGAGTGCTTATAAATTAACAGTTATAATCAGATACTATAGATCTCAGCAAATTATGCATTTAATAGAATAAGCTTTATAAGAAGGCTTCAGTAACTTGTTTAGTATTTATCTTATTACAAGATTGTAATATTATATCTTTACTCAGTTGATTAATAATGATCAGGACATTTCTACAATTCTTGCTCTCAGAAAGATTAATAGTGAAGTCAATTACTACATCTCATCAGATTCTATCAGAGATATTAAGCAATTTCAGTAGACTCTTTCTACAATTATTATTATTATTATTCTTCAATTATAGATGTATACAGCCAGAGACTATAATATCTACCTGAGAACTTTTAGTTCTCAGAGTTTTTCCTATATCTATAAAGTCAACTATTATATATTTATCAATTTCAGATATGCAAAATCAGAAAATTTCAGCCTAGAACACAAAAACTGTTTACAAATTACAGGATTTCAACACCTTCTGATACTTTGAAATCATTTGAAAATATCATAACAAAGGAAAAGAGAACATAGTCTCTTAAAGATAGATACATTAAATAGATAGATAGAAAAGAACAGAAAAGAACAAGTACAGTAAAGAGACACTATAATAAAACAAAATTATTAAAAGATAGTATATAGCTATTTTAACAGACTATATCTAATCAATTTTCATCTCTTCATATTCACATACTTCTGAATTCAGTCATTTTCTTGTAGCTGCTTAAGTTTCTGATAGAAAGTCTATTAAGTATTTAATTCCTGTCTCAGTTGAGAATAAGAATCTTATATTTAATTGATTTAAATAATACTTCTTCTTCAATCTGACTCTGAGACTATTGTATATTGTATAATGTATTATAATATACTCAGGATTTTTATTTACATTGCAGAATGAGCATTCTGTTAAATCAAATCTATTATCAAATCTTTGTATCAAAGATTTGAAATAATCATGTTCTAGTTTCAGCTGAATTATAGATGAGAATATTTTCTTTTTACATTTAATTAAACAAGATTTTCACTTAGATTTTATCTCAAATCTTGAATAATGTATACTCTTCTTTTGTTTCTGCCAGCTTTCATTTCACTTATTTAAACAAGATTCTTTTTATCTTTCTCTTTATAAAAAATCAAAACACTGTTTTTTGAACAGATCTGCTTAATTCTGAACTCTTTTTTACTACTGAATCAGTCAATTCGTTGTCATAAATATTCATATAAACAGAAACTCAGTGTAGATGAATTATTTGTTTTAATACTTTTCTCTATTGAAGTTTCATAACAGAATTTAAAATCAGTTCAAGATTTATTTAATCATTATGAATCTGACTATTTTTAAATCTTTTCAAAGCAGCTTGACTATCAGAGAATATTCATATCTCTTTCAAGCTATTTTCTCTTTTATAAGATTTTATGTTAATAAGTTTGAAAGCTTTTACTATTGTAAATAGTTCAGCATCAAAGACTTCAGATTCACAGCTTAAATTTCAGAAATCTGAGATAAAATTAATATCATCTTCAGTATAAGCAATGTCTGTATCTAATCTGTTCAAACTCGCATTTTTTGAGTCATCTGAGTATACCAGAATAGAGTCTTTTATATTAATTATAGAGATCTTCTTTAAATGCTGTTCATATTCTCTCTCTTTAGATAATTCACTTATTTGTAACTCTAGGAGAGATTTCAGCTTTTCTCTTCAGAGAGATATCTTCTCATAAGCAATTTTCTCAATATTTAATGAAGAAAATTGATTTTTAATCAGTGAATATAATCTATACAGTTGAGAGAAGATTTTCTTCGATTTTTTAAGCTTGCAGTTATAGGTTTACTGACTTGACTATTCTCTTCAGTTCTAGATTGACTTTGAGCTTTATGTTTTCTTCAGTTCTTTTGAGTTCTTGAAGTAACAATACATTCTTTTGAGCTAGATGCATGTTTTTCTTTGCAATTAGAGCATTTAAGCAGAATATGTTGACATATTTCATCTCTTTTTAAGTAATTTTCATATTTATACTCACTAGTTTTGTAATCTCTAGCATAGAATGCATATTTTGAGTCTCTAAAACAAGAGATTGCAAAGTGTTCATATCTTTGACAGTGTGAACACTGTGATTAAGCTTTGAGATTCATTCTTGAGTCTTTGTATTCATGAACTCTCATTCTCAAATCTGCTACTCTTACTTCAGAGATCTTTGATTGTTCAAGTGTTTTTATATATACTAGAACAGAGACATTTCTTCTACTTTGTCTGAACTCAATTGAATTTAGTTATACAGACTCTTTTCTCAGTTGAATAGAGTTATATTCTTTTAATTCATTTTTAAGAAGTAATATTTCTTCTTTACAGTCAAAATTTTCAACTGAAATATTATGAAGAATGAATTTATCTCACTTTTCATCTCTCTCAGATAGAATTATTGTGTTTAACAAAGATTTTACTGCTAATTTTGAGACATTCTCATTCTGAATAAGGAATTCTGCACTGAATTCAGACATTGTAGTTAGAATGATGAAGTTTTCAAAGAAGAATGACTTAATTAAAGCTATAACTGATTTTTGAACTTAATATCAGTTATTAACTGAGAAAAGAACTGCTGATTAATTTCATTTCTGATTCTAAAAATGAGATTCAAGTGTAGCTTGTTTCTCTGCAAGATGTTCTAATTTAAGATCTTAAGAATAAGTCTTCTATTTCTGATGATTTGGAAGTTTTTCTCATTTTGCATTTTTTTTTTTTCACTTTTCTATGAATAGAAGTATGAGCAGTATTCTTCTCAGTTTTCTCAGGATTTTGAGCAGATTTTGAGACAGCAGGTTTAGAAACAGCAGATTCAGCTGCTTAAGTATATATTTTCTTCTGATTTAACATAGAAGAAGAAGAAGTAGAAAAAGAAGAAGAGTAAAGTGAAGAGTCAGTGATTGTACTAGAAATTTTCAATGTTTTTTGAACTGTGTTTGAAATTTCAAGTTTGAACTTGATCATCTTCTGTAGTTGTCTAGCCTAAGTATCAAGAATTAACAGAACTTTTTCATTTATCTCATTCAGACACTGCTTTTCAAGAATCTTACTTGCTTTTTCAAGTTTCTGTATTTCAAGAACTTATTATTTCTCTATTTCTTCTTTATTATTATTATTATTATTCTTCAATTATAGATGTATGCAGTCAGAGACTATAACATCTATCTAACTACTTCTTCTTTCTTTCGTCTCTTCAGAATTTGAATCTCAGAAATAGCATTTGAGAAAGCATCTTTTTTCATATCAACTGACTGTATTTTTGAACTCATTGTTATCACTCAATGAAAAGTTGATCAGACTGTTTCAATTGAGAGATTTGTTGAACTCTTTTGAATTGAAAAGTTAATCAGACTGTTTCAATTAAGAGAATTCTAAGTCTGTTTTCAATTGAAAAGTTGATCAGACTATTTCAAAAGAAGAATAAAAGACTTTTGTGTATAAAACACCTGATTTTTTTCACACTAGTTCAGTAACTAAATTAGATTTTTAAAGAGAATCTAATAAACTAAAATTGATTTTTGAGATAAATCAATAAAATCTTTACAATCTCTTTCTTGAAATACAGTGAGAAACAGTATGATATTAATTGATAATAAATCATATAATATGACAGTTTTTGAGAGAAAAACTGATAAAAAATAAATCAATTTTTTACAGAGAAATTAATAAAAACTATTTAATTTTATTCTAAATTATTCAATTCTTCTCCCACAACAAGTGTGCAACTCAAATCAGTTAATAAAGAGTGTAAAAAAGAATTAAGTATTAATGAAAGCTCTTCAGTCACTGAAAAAGAAATTCTTACTTAACAGAATGTGAAATTATGATAGAAAATAACTCTGCTTTTAATTCTTTGTAATAATATTGTATAAAATTCAGAGAAAAATATCTTACTTTTTCAAGAGAAGTAAAAAACTATTTCTAAGATCTTTTTTTTACATTAACTGCTGTAGAAGAATGAGATAGAAACTGCTAAGATATACACTACTGTATACTCTCTATCAAGACTTTCTCTCTTCAGAGTCTTGATATTATAGAGAATATAAGTCTATTTCTATATAATAATATAAATATTGTCAGCAGGATGTAGAGAAACTGGTTATTTATATCTCAAAATAGAAGACTTTATCAATGATTATATTAATATAGAGTTAATTCTCAAATTCAATAGAAATCTAGTATTACTGTTCTCAATTTCTTACAGAATCTATTGAATATTGAGATATTAAAACTAGATTTAATATATCTCACTGTGCAGGAATCAAAGGCTCAGTGAGATCTTGAAGTATACTGATTTTATAATTGTTAATATGCTGTTGACTTGTTGTCTGCTGATTATGTGTTGAATACTGTTGTCAAGATATCTTTTTGTATTTTTCTGCTGAGAATGGGCCAGATTGGAAAGGGCGGTACAAGGGTGGGACTTGGCATTGATGTTTTGAAACATCAAAGATGAACAGGATTTTCGCAGAGATCACTTCTCAGATATCTTCACAATTACAGATTGAGGATCTTCCAAAATCAAGAAGATTGGCGCATATGACTAGGTCTCTTCACCTTACAATTTGTATGACAATTTGGCCCGGGGTTGTGGTGTGGTAGGGGTGAACGGGGGATAATCCAACACAGGAGTTTCGAACAATGTCTGGTTCATGTTTGGCTGGATAACTCCACCACCACACGGGGTATGCGGTCGGCGATGGGGTCAAAATGCTCGTATGATCAAGGGCTTTTCAATGGATCTATCGGCGGGTTCTTATTCGAAAAATCGAGCGAGTTCGTGGTGGAGCGGTTGTCATCAATCAATTATTAATTTATTAATTTTAATTAGTTAATAAATCAATGACATCTCTGTCTACACTTAGTTTCACAAGTATGTCCAATCTTTATGACAGGTAGAGAGTGAGGTCAGAAGTATTAAAATATGCAGAGACATCTAAATATTTCTTTAAAACTTGTATTATATTTATCTCTGATTCAGTCTGTGTTGAAACTGTCTGTATAGAGATTTCTTATTGAGTTAATCATTGAATTTCTTTATATTAATGTTATTAATTCACATGTATATCAGCTATCTGCTGCTGCTATAATATCAACATTGTTTAAAGTCACTGCAGTACTGTATCTATGCTTATATTTAAGAGTTCTCTTATATTATCAGTAAACATAGCTATATCATTCAATAAATATACAGTATCTGCATTTGAAAGTTCTTCAGAATCAGAAGAAGTGTATTCATATAAATATTTCATACCTCTAAGATGTCCGAACTCTCAGATCTTTCACTGATATTCTCTTTATAAGATCTTATTACAGAGACAGAGCAGCTGATAAGCAAGCTTCTATCTATTTAGCAGAGACTCAGTATCTGCTTAGCTAGTCTGTAATTATTCATTTTCTTATTATCATGTATTGTTACACATTTAGATATCTTTTTAATAAGTAATTATTTCTAATAAGAAGACATTGAACATTTTTTAGGTATAAGAGACCTACACTAAAGAGATTGACATTAGATATAGAACCTATATAACAAAAGTAGAAAACATTAGAGAAGAAAAAAGAGAGAAGGAAAAGAGTATAATCAGAACAGATATTTATACATGTATGAGATGAAGCTCCGGGGCGGGAGAATAGAAGCTCTGACATGAGTTTTCAGCTGAGAATTGAAGCTTTCAGCAGGAATGACTGATGATCAGAGAGGCTGATAAGCGGGGCTTTCAGCAGGAATTCATGAAGTGTAGTGAAATGATCTATATAATCGGGCGTAGCCCGCCACACTACTTAATATAATGAAAAACTTTGAGCTGAATAATATATTTAACTCACTTAGTATCTCACTGATTAACTGATCCTTTTGAATCAGAGTACTATAAACAAATATATGATAGATTGATGATATAAATAATCAAGCAGAGAATTTCCTTATCATATTCAAAGACTCTGTAAATAATCTTGAAGGTAATCAATCTTATTTATAATAACTGTTAATAAATATCTTAATTATAATATATATCAGAGATTCTACAATATAGAGAGATTAATGAGTTTTTATGTATCTGAATACTGCTTAAATATCAATGAGATTATTATGATAAATATATTACTTATGAAAATAGAATTTTCCCAGCTCTCTCTAAAAATTAATAGCAAAATATCATTAAAAAATCAAAATATTCGCATTTTTCTAGAATTATTCAATATCATTCAATACATGTTTTTTACAATTAAATATCATTTAAATACGCGTCTTTCTTATCTTTATCATCAAATTCATATATATTAATCAACTCTTTTTTAATATATCTTACAATGTCTGCTGTTCTGCTACTTTGTAAGCTTATACAAGGACTTCTACTCTATGCCTCAGTCTTCTCAAACTATCTGTCAGAAGTTCCGGATAATGACGAGATTTCAGTTAATGATGAGATGAAGAAGCAGGTGAATAAGAAGAATATAAAGACTCAGTCTGAGAATTCTTAATATTCATGAATCTCTACATCTGAGTCTGATATCTCATATAGATTGTATGAACAGGTGATTATTAATGAGATAAAAAATTCGGTTAAGATTAAATACTGAACTGTCTTAGTAAATGATTCAACTGTCAGCTTCTTTGATATTCAATATACTGTAGGAAAGATAGCTAAGAAGTATATTACAAAGTAGATCTGCAAGAAGATGAAAGTTGTAGATTATACAGCTGTTATCACATTATACAAATGTGAATTTCAGATCAATAAAATCACTATTGAGAAGAAGAAGAATTGAAAGAGAATAGTTAATCTTTTGAAGAAGTTATATAAGAAGAAGATGAGTGATCTTACTATTAAAGTCATTTCTTCTTTCAATCTTCTTAATATTTCAATACTTTTTTTAAACACATCTGTAATATACAGTTCTGCAGCTTTTATTGAAGTGTTAAATTGACAATTAAAAACTCAGATATTGACATTAAAAAGAGCTCTTGATATTAAAGAAGAAACAATCTCATCATTCTGCAATTCTTATCACAATTCTGTCAAATTCTCTTAAATTTATGAAATATTCAATGATAAAAAGCTATCTACATGTTCAAGAATCACAGTCATAAGTTAATAACTGAAGAAGGTTTGAAATTGATAATCAAAGAAATAAGATTCTTTGCAGGTTGAATATGAGATAACTGCTCAATGACATTGTCAAAAGATAAATTGTTATAACTTTGAGCAGAGCACTTGCTGAATAGTATATAATAATACTCATATTCAACTGCTGAGTAGTGAGATGACAAGTTGAATAGATAATACTAAACATAACAAAGCAATGATTGAGACTTCTTCAAGAAAGATGATAATATAATTAATAAGTAAAAAGAAGAAGAAGAATTAGAAGAATGAATCTATAACTTCTACATTTAGTTCTTCTATACAGACTTCTCAATTGTCAGTAGTTATATTTCCTTCTTCAGCTTCAGCAGCTTCAACTTCATTAAATATAGCATTTTCAAGTGAGATAATCAATGTGATGATGATGAAATATATGATGAAAGAAATAGAAGAACTGAATTCGCAATCTCATTATCATTCATATTCAGATCTGCTATCAAATCTTTTATCAAACTCTTAATTGAATTCGCTGTTGAATTCTTCATTGAATTCACTGTTACACTCTTCATTGATTCTGCTGTTGACTTCATTAAATTCATCTTCAATTCAAAGCAGTTCAATATCTCAATTTAGTGAATAAGCAGATTTATTCTTTGATGAATACTTTAAATGATTAACAATCTGAAGACCTAATAAAGCTTCTGATTTGTTAGATGCTAAGTTCATTCTTCAGAACAAAGAATCTCAATTGAATTATCTACAGATATTGACAAGAGAACAGTTACTTGATATGAATATTAAGAAGAGTATATTTCAAATTATAAGAGATGGATTAAAAAGTTAATTATAGCAGGCAAAATGACAGAAATTCAAATCATCTTTATTAACTACTCATAGTGATAAGAGCAGACCTCATACTGCTTCAATCTCTAAATCTGTATTATAGTTAAATGAATTGCAATCTGAATCTTTCTGATTATTATAATACTATTCTACATGAGCAGATCTGAAATATTCTTTTAGATCTTTTATTCTCATAATGTTCTCAACTGCATGATGTAAACAAGCTTTAAAATCTTTATTAAACTGAGTATCTAACTGATCTCTATATCTTCTAATTCATTTCTTCAACGCGTGAAAAGACTCCTCTATAGAATTATAGTCAGATGAATATAATGATAAGAATAATAGTTCAATATCTGCATCTCTGCAAAGATTCTTCAATTCTTGAGATCAATAAGTATTGCAATTATTTATCACTAAGTAGTAATAACTCTGTTGATATTTAAGTAGTATCTGAATATATAACAACTCATTAAACCTCTCTGTATTGTAGAATCTCTGATATATATTATAATCAAGATATTTATTAACAGTTATCATAGATAAGATTAATTATTTTCAAGATTATTTACAGAGTCTTGTAATATAATAAGAAAATTCTCTGCTTGATTATTCATATCATTAATCTACTATATATTTATTCACAGTACTCTCATTTAAAAAGATCTGTTGATCAGAGAGATACTGAGTGAGTTAAATATATTATTCAGCTTGAAGTTCTTCATTATATTAAGTGACTATGAGGTTATTTTATATTATAGAACTAATAAATTAGTAAATTCTATATATTAAATAATATTTAATTAAAATATTAATCATCTTCTTTTATATTAAATTCAGTTTCTTCAATAATCTAGATATTGACCGTGAGTGAATATCAATATTAAATTTATTCTTCATAAAGTAGACAGTCTTATTATGATATATAGTTGAATATATCTTGAAAATATTCTTTAATTCTGATAAGATATCTGATGTGATCTTTGACTTTACACTGTATATTAAATGAGATTTTCTAGCAGTTTTAAAGCAGTAAAGATTTCATTAAATTTAATATACAGTAGTCAGATAATAATCAATACTTTATATAATCTCAGCAGATATATAATTATTCTTAAGAAGATGTACAATCTCAATGATAATGAAATCACAGAGTTGAGATATCATATTAATAATAAAGGTAAGAAAGTCTGGCGGGCTGCGCCCGATCATTATATAGACTATTTCTTTATACTTTATAGATTCCGCTGAAAGCTCCGATTCTCGGTCATTCTCAATCACTGATCCTCAGCTGAAAAACCCACAGAATTCCTATTCTTCCACCCTGAAGCTCCACCGCGTACACACTGTGTATGTGTATAAATATTCACTCTGATCACTAATTCTCACACTTTTTCTTTCTTTTTCTTCTTTAATGTTTTTCACTTTGTTATATAAGACCTATATATATTATACTGATCTATTCAGCGTAGGCCTCTTACACTTGAAAAATGTTCATTGTTTCCTCATTAGAAATGATTACTCATTGAGAAGATATCTGAATGTGTAATAATATGTAAGAAATAGAAAAAATAATTAAACAGTTAAGTGAATATCAAGGTCTCAGATAGAAGCTTACTCATCAGTCACTCTGACCCTGTAACAAGATCTTATAAAGAGAATGTCAGTGAAAGACCTGAGAGTTCTGACACTCTAGATGTATAAGATATTCATATAATTACACTTCTTCAGATTTCACAGATATCACATATCTGATAAATGATATAATCATGTCTAATAATAATATAGAAGAACTCTTGAATGTGAGTATAAATACAATATCACAGTGACTCTGAGTAATGTTGAAATTACAATAGTAATAGATAGCTGATATGCATGTGACTCAATAACATTAATACAAGGAAATTCAACAATTATCTCAACTAGAAATCTCTGTATAAGTAACTTCAACACTGACAGAATTGAATATGAATATAATACAAGTGCTGAAGAAACACTTAAATACTTTCACATATTTTGATGCTTCTGATCTCACTCTCTACTCATTATAAAGGCTGGAAATGCTTATGAAACTAAGTGTAGATGAAGATGTCATTGATTCACTAATCAATCAAGATTGATATATCAATGAATGATTGAAGAATTACACAAAACAGAAGTTTCATTCATGAATGAAAGCATATGAACCAGTGCTGTAAATATCTGATAATATCATCAAATATCTTGATATTCTGTTCTGAGACACTGTTATGCAACAGAAAGTATTAGATTGATTACAGAGTGTCTAACAGAGAAACACTTCTCTTATAACATTCATTCCTGACTTCAATATTAAGATTCTAGAAGTAGGTGATCAATTTTGAAAGAACTGAATGAATATTAGTATACTTAAGAAGACATTAGCTTTTGAACTCTTACAGGCCCTTGTAAGCATAGACAAAGACCAGACTTATGTACAACTCTGAATATTGAATGACTGTCTTATTAAGCTCAAGAGTATACAGAACAGTGATAGAAGATATTACATCTCAGTCACTTATACACCTGTGCTGAGAAATAACAACAATGATGCAGATGTCATGAACTGAGTAGACTTGACTATCTATGTATAAGCAAGGGTCTTCACTGTTTAAACAGACTTCTGAGTTCCTGGGATCACTTCTGAAGAAGTTGCTGATTGATGTTAACAAGAAGTGTGCATCAACTGTAATTAATCAGAACACATTGCTTTCAACTGCTGATCAGTCTATGTATCTTCTCACTCAAAGAATGAATCAATATCTGTTCACATCAACTACATTGCATTGAAGAAAGATTTAGAAGATAACTATGAGAACACTCTGATGAAACAGGGAAAAGATTAGCTTCTGTTCAAATTTTTAAACAGAATCTTGAAGAGGTCAGATGACAATTATTTGAACAGAAAATGACAATGAACACAATTCTTGTATCTACTGTGATTAATAATATATATAATATGAAAGGCATAATAGACAGCAGTCTAGGTTATTATACAATGATTAAATCTTCAGTTGTAAGATGTTATAATCTTCAGTGTATTCCCTTATCAAAATCTCAACTCCTTACAGAGTTTGATGATTCAAAAGACATTCACACCTGTTACGTGATAAAACTAGACATAGATGTTGAAGCACATCAATGTGAAGATGCCTATGCATATGAAGTTGATAATCTTGACTATAATCTTATGCTAGGACTTGCCTGATGAATTCATGAAGATGATATTTATAAGGCTATAAATCTTACACAGATCTCTGTCAATGCTTATGAAATGCTCTGAAAAAGAAGTCATTGATGAGATCACTAACAACGTCATTAATAGCAGAATCATGTATCAATCTATTTCATCAGTCTGACTTATATCAAGAAAGCTCTAGAGAAGTTATTCTGTACTACAATAACAGATTCTCACATAAAACTCTCTCAATAATATCATAAATATCTAGATGTCTTCTGATAAGATAATATTATGAATATACTCTCTTTACAAGACTCAGAAGTGAATCATAGTATCAAGTTAGAAAAGAAGAA